TTTTGAACCCCCGGTGTCCTACGTGACACAGACTCAAGAGTGAGGCTAACTGATTTATATTTCGAAAGATTTCCATTTGTGAGGTGCTGTGATGGATTGGATCAAATCTAGGTGATTTTCAACCCTTTGCAAGGTGCCTCTCAGTGAGGCCTGTCAGAGTAACTTCTGCTGTTAACAAGAGAATAAAACGTCATAGAATCAAAGATTATCCTTTTTTGAAAAGAATCCTCAATGATCATCAAAGTCCAAATCCTGGTCTATTGCTTGACTAATGCAAAAATAACTCCATGTGCCTGAAAGTGTTTTCCAGGCACTTTTTGAACTCTGTCGGGCTTGGGGCCTTGACCATTCCCTGGGGAATCCGTTCCAGTGCCCAACCATCCTCTTGATGAAGAACCTTTTTCTAATATCCAACCTAAACCTCCCCTGACACAGCTTCCTGCCATTCTCTCAGGTTTCTTCATAGAAGGGGTTGTCCATCACTGGAATAGACTGCCCAGGAAAGTGGTGGGGTCACTATCCCTAGAGATTTTCAAGAAACACCCGAATGTGGCACTTAGAGCTATAGTCTGATTCACAAGGTGATGATCTGTCAGACATTGAATTCGATGATCTTGGAGGTCTTTTTCAACCCAAATGATTCTGTGATGCCATGTCCTATCCCTGGTCACCCCAGAGAATAGATCATTGCCTGCCCCTCCTCTTCCCCTCAGGAGGAAGTTGTAGACCACAGTGAGGTCCTCCCTCAGCCTCCTCTTCTCCAGGCTGAACAGATCAAGTGACCTCAGCTGCTCCTCATGTGGCTTCCCCTAAAGGACCTGCACCATCTTTGTTGCCCTCATTTGGGCCTTCTCTAAGAGCTTTATACCTTTCTTATATTTAGATACCAAAAACTGCACAAGGGACTAAAGGTGATGCCACACTGAGAAAAGTGATCACAGTGGGATCTTTGCTTAAATACACTTACAGGCCATACGAAAGAGCAGCTCGCAAAAAAAATTATATTTTAGATTGCACTTAACCTTATCAGCTTGTAACTGACGAAATTGGGTAATTATGATTAGCACTATGTTCATATGTACAATTTTGTTGTATATCAAAATATCACAGGTGAGGGATAAGTCAAGCATTTAGATATCATGTCAGGTTTTATATACTTAAGAGCTAATAACAAACTGCTGTCATTAGCCATATTATTCCTATATAAAGCACTTCACTCAGTTTCCAAATTAAGTCCATTTTATTAGGTGGAACTACATGAATGTATCAGTGTAAATAAATGGAGATAATGTATTAAATTTTATATACTTGAAAAATATGATCGTGAGACAGAAGCAAAAGGAGAGACTTCACAATGGGAAAATAGCACTCATTTTTCAAACCATATGGTCTTCGTTCTTGGATGCATGTGCCGCAGATTGGCTATTGTGTGGAAAATGAGGAAGTGTCACTATGTATTATGAGATGGTAGTTCCAAGGAGTTTGTTCTTGTGGTGGTGTGTCTCTCCATCTTCAATTTTAATGTTCTTCTCTTTATAGTAAAATACCCTTGTGGAAAAGTTTTTGTGGCAAGGAAAAAAAGATCTGTTCTTTCACCTGCTGACTACAGCAATGGAACAAGTGGTCAGAGAGACCCTCCTGCAAATGAAACTAGTGCAGAGGAGAACTCTGCAATTACCACAGAAAGCCCAACCCCACCACCAGACAACAGAACAAACAGCAGGAATCCATATGTCAGTACCAGGATTGTTGGAGGGGATGAGTGTCTCCCTGGCCAATGCCCATGGCAGGTAAATGGAGGGGGTTTTGTCCTGAATGTGGGCAGAGTGTGTCTCTGAGGGAAGATCCTTCCAGCTGGTTGCCT